ACATGCCTGAGACTTAAAAGCAGTTCAGTGAGCCTAAGGCCAAACATGTATGGAAACTCTCTTTTTCCTTTCTAAGGAAATTCCTTTAAAAAAGAAAAGACAAGAAAAGAAAATGATACTATTCCTGGGAGTTTTCTCTGTGTATTTAATCTTGAGTTGCTTAGCCAGAGGGTGGGAAGAAGGCAGATGTTTTAGAATGGTCTCAAGAGTAGAGATGGATTTTTTTAGCATTATAAAATTAGTTTATACCAAGTAAAAAAATTTACAACATTGACCAGATACAAAAATGTCTCCCAGAAACACTATTAGTTTTTCAAAAAAAAATACTCCTTTAAAGAAAAAATGAAATAAAATGAAAAATATATAAATATGTTTAGTTTTTTCTTAGCAAAAAGAAAAACTTCTAAAAACAACAATGAAAATTTGTCTCACTACAAAGAGTACATTATTATTAAAAAAAACACCAACTTAATAAAAAAGGGAAAAAATAAAAGTGAACAATACTAGAATAAAGAAAAGGTACAAGTAGGCATGGTGGTACATGCCTGCAATCCCACCTCTCGGAGGTTGAGGCAGGAGGATCATGGGCTCCAGGCCAGTCTGGACTATGTAGTTAGACCCTATCTCAAAAAAGAAAAGAAAAGGAAGGGAAGGAAATGGAAAAAGGGGGTGTGGGGGGAAGGTACATGTTTGATGATAGAATAATGATATCAGTGAATCACAGTGGTTGAAGTCTGCAATAAAAACAAATCTGCAATAAAGATGTTTAAACAGTATTGTAAATAATAACAAATACTCAAGGTTAAGTTACAACTTTCAAAAAAAAAATCTACTAGTTCAAGTGTCATATCTAGGAAAGACCATCACAGAACCCTTGTTACCCCAGGGGCCTTTTAGTCAAGTTGCAGGTCAGAACACCTCTGTGGTTTTGGGTTTTTTTTTTTTTTAATATTTTTGAAGTACCCTGTATTTTAATATGGCATTAAGAACTTGGGGGTACATTTATTTACAAAATAAAAGAGAACATGTTATAATTTGGTAAAATTTAGGAAAAGTTCTCTTTAAAAAAGAGATGTATCTCAGTGGCAGAGCACTTGCCTAGTACACATGAGGCCCTGGGTTCCATCTCTAGCACTGGAAGAAACGATCAAAAAATGCAAACAAAAGGCCTCTTTCACAATCTCGTCAGTTGTGCACAACTGTGGAAAAACCACACAAATATAGAAAAAGACAAAAACACATCTAAACTGGATAAAAGCAGTTATTACCAAAAAGCTCAGAGGTAACATTCTAAAGGTGAGGATTCTAATAAGCATTTTTAATCTAATTTAAACAAAACTATTTCACCTGGGCATGATAGGACACATCTGTAATCCCAGATTATTTGGGAGGTGGAGGCAGGAGGATTGCAGTTCAAGACAGACTAGGCTACATCATAAGACCTTGTCTCAAAAACCCCAGAAGAACAAAAAAATGGTCTTTCTTTTTGGGAACAAACTCTTTTGAGAATGAGTAATTATAACTAAATATTGGAGAAAAGAAACAAAATACAAGAACAACCAATTACATTGGCTTTCACAAATCATTTCATTTGGGAGTAAAGGGAAGCAGATGAGCTGTTTCAAATCATCTGAAAACCTGTCATATAACATAGATCCAGTCTTCCAGATATGAGTCCTGGGAGAAAGGTCAAACCCACAGTCAGACCTAAGAAGTTGTGGTCCAGGAAAAAAAGGATCCCTCAGTGGCTTTACCCTGTGACCAAGGGAGGGCCATGAGCCCACCGGGCAGAGAGGGTGTCCCTAGCTGTACTGTGATACAGGTATCCTGTACTGGCCCCTCCTGAGTCTAAATGTGACAAGGGTGCTGTGGAGACCACACAGGATCCCCACAACCTCCAGTCCTCCAGTTTCAGCAGGCCCTGGAGAGAAGAGCCCAGTGAGCAAGCTCAGGGCTACAGTAAAGTTTGTTTGGTGAGGGGTAAAAAAAGAAGTCAGACATACTGACCTTCAGGCTAGGGATGTAGCTCAGTGGAAAACAGCCTGTCTAGCATGCATAAGGTCCTGATTGGATGCTTAGCACCACCACCAAAAAAATCCTGTGGAAGCTTTCTGCAGTCTCTTCTGACCTCCTTTTGGCAGCTGGCTGTATCCCTAAATCACAAAGTATGTTGTTGGGGTTTTGTTTTTAATAGATGCCTTAGACTGACTAGAGTTTGTTGTATTAATTTTATTTTTCGTAGTACTGTGCTTTGAACTCAGGGCCTTGTGTTTGCTAGGTAAACACTCTACTACTTGAGCCATATCTCCAGCCCTTTTTGTTTTTAGATAGGCTCTTGCATTTTTGCCTGTGTTAGCCAGGACCATGATCCTCCTACCTTAAGGCCTCCCTCAGAGCTGTGATGACAGGGATTCACCACCATGCCCAGCTTAGTGGTTGAGGTAGTATCTCACTAATTTTTTGCCTAGGTTGGCCTTGAGCTGAGATTCTTCTGATGTCCAAGATCCTCCTGATCTCTGTCTCTTTAAGTATCTGGGATTATAGGTATGAGCCTCCATGCTGGCCAATAATACTGTAATAGCAATAAAAGTTATCTTAGCATAAATTCACATAATACTAAAAGACTTAACCAAAATCCTCAGCAAAATAAAAACCAAACATGAAGGAAAAATAAAGATTCAGCTCATGAGGTATCCTTTCAAGTCAAAATAGAGGACTGGAGGTGTGGCTCAAGAGATAGAGCTCCTGCTTTGTAAGCATGAGGCTCTGAGTTTGAACCCCAGTACCACCAAAAACAAAGAAGTCTTACCAAGTCAAAATAGGAAACAAGTAAAGGCTTTTATTTCTTTGAGGGACCTCAACTAATGATTGCTGAATTGTTGTGAAGTTTTTGCTGCATCTGCCACATGCTCATAAGTATAGCTTTGATAAGCCTTGTCTTTGGTGGACCCTCTTAAGTTTCTGAAAATAAGTGCATGCTCCTTTCAGAACAATAACACAAAAACAAAAGAAATATATCAATGATGTATTTTCACAAATTACAAGTCAGCTATAAGACCTTAATGTACCTAACTGGGGTGTGGTGGTACAAGTCTATAATCCAGAGGCTGAGTAGGAAGGTAGTGAGTTTGATTCCAGCGTGGTTTATGTACGGAAGCTGTGCCTTAAAAAAAAAAAAAACAGTACCAAGGAGACAAAGGTATGAGTTAATGTGCAAATTTAGTGCCGTTATATACTCTGCCCACTTTGCCTTATACTAGAGATTGAGTTCAGTAATATGACTGTAAAAGTAGTAGTAATAAATAACTAAAAGACCAATTTCTTCTCTAAAATTTGAGAATATACAGATTTTGAGAACACACTGTAGGCCTTGAGGCAGTATCCTCTATCTCTCTCTCCCTCCTTGTTATCTACTCCAGTATGTTAGGCTGGGTTAGCTCTGGGCTCAGCTCCAGCAAACAGGACATGATATGATAAGGGTGGTCACTTCCCTTTTTGGTCAGCAGTTTGTGGAACTTCTGCCCAGCGCAGGAATGTGTGCCTGCTTGCCCAGCAGTGTTTGTGATAGTAATACATGTAATGCTGGCACAGAAGTAGGCAAACTTTTCACCACATAAAAATGCATTTTGTAAGCTCGGGTATACTTCCTGATAATTTAAAATTGTTTCATTGAAGTAATATATGTATATGTATGGAAAAACATGTATCATAAGTGTATGACTTGGTGAGTTATCACAAATTAAATAATATGGCAGTGTAATTGGTACCCAGAACCAAAATGCAGTTAGCATTCTATAAGCTTCTCTTGAACCCCTTCCAGTTACTACCTGTTACCCAGGGTGACCACTCTTCTGACTCGTAATGACATAAATGTATATTGCCTGATTCTTGTACTCTATATTAGTTGTGTCTCTACTTTTGCTCAAAATTTTGTTTGTGAGATTTACCCACATTTTATGTATTGTTAGCTTATTCATTTTCAATACTATATAAAATCCATTGCATAGATATATTACAGTTTATCCATTCTACTGTTAGGATTTGGATATTTTCAGTTTTGGGTTATTGTGAATTGTGCTCCTGTCAACATTCTATTAGTGTATTTTGATGTAAATATGCATGAATTTCCCAGGACATTTCAAGGTTTCTTATCCCCTAGTCAATAAAATGTTGAATATTCTTCATCATTATAGCCAACATATTTACCATGTGTGCCTTACTCAAATGACAACTGTAGTTGTAGGCAACTCCTTTCCTCCCCAGTGTTCTCACAGGACTTTGTCTACACTTAAGAAAGATTATTGTCATGTTATGTTTGGGTGTAGTATGCATCTTTGTGTCTTTTATTCAGTTATGAATGCTTTTCAGTACTTTGTTTTACTTGCTCATGTATCCCATACATGGCACAGTATCTACAATTTACGTCTGTAAGCTAGTTGAGTGAATGGTGATAGCTATCACCACTGACAATGATTAACAAAGCAAGTCCTATTTTTTTTTCATTTTTCTTTTATTATTCATATGTGCATACAAGGCTTGGTTCATTTCTCCCCCCCGCCCCCACCCCCTCCCTTACCATCCACTCCGCCCCCTCCCTCAGCAAGTCCTCTTAATTATGTGAATCTTGCAGCTTTAGTCTGACATCTCAGTATTAGGAATGGGAAGTGATTTCTTTCTGAGAAGCCCAGAACTGTGGGCTCAGAACTGAACGTGCCGATGGTTAGACACAATTGCTGTGGCTTTAAGCCTCTTGGAGATTTAAAGTGTTAACTTAAGTGATTCCAAGACCTAGTGTGGGGGCCAGATATAAATAGCAGAACACAAGTGGAGTAATGTGCCACTGCCAAGCTGCTGCTGGGGGTGTTTATAAAAAGAAAAGCATTCACTTCTCAGCTCTCACTGTCAACAACATCCCATCCTGAAGACATGCTTACCACAATTGAGAGTGGGAAATCTGTTTGAGACCTAGCATCATTTAAACCTCTTTCAAAGGCACAAAAGCCAGGTAAACATTTTGACTTATTTGCACTCAGCTTGTATTCAGAAGTGAAGCATTATCAAGAAAACTTTGATCCACTGCTTGCTTGGCACATACTGCCTTGTGACAGGTATCTACCAAATGTCATATTCTGAATATTTTGTAGAAAGGGAAGTTTAACACAAAAGTAGCATCTTGGTACTAAATTTTAATGTCTTTAGTGTTAAAAAAAAGTGCTTTTGAAGAAAGATGGGAATCTGGGGTCAAAAAGAGCTAATAAAAGAAAGACTACCTCCCTTTCTCTATGCTGTTCATTCCCATTTTCAGAATCCAGAATGTGGTGATTGATGGGATAAAGTAGAGGTTTTATTTCATTTCTAGTAATGTCAACTTTGTTGGAGGTATGTGGGAGTAACTGAAAGCTAACCTGCTGCATCCTTTTAATTGAATTGATTAAGGGCTCTGGGACAGCTTCAGTCTCTGAAGGCCTCTTTACCCTCTTATTTACCTCTTATAGTATCATAAATGCTGGTATGAATACTGGGCATTTAGCCAGTGGAGTTATATATAATCCCCTTAGAATTGGTGCCTACCCAGTTTCTCATTCTTGCCTTCTGAAAGTTATGCAAGACACTTGATTTACATTTAGACTTCTTTTGATTGTGAATATTTGGAAAAAGGAGGATACCTTAGGTAATCAGACTTGTACCACTTCTGGGCTCATCAACTCTTCCCTGTCATCCAGATGGGCCTGGCTTAGTTTGCAAAGAAGATAGAAGAATGGAAGATGTACATGAATACGTTCCTAGAGAATGTCTAGAAACTGGAAGCAAGAGGACCAGTTTGAGACTGGTGTTTCAGTTTGATGTGTTATTTCCTGTGCATGCTGAGTGGTGATTCAGAGATAGGAAAAAAAAATGTCTAGCAGTGACTCTAATGGAAAAACTGTCTTGAGCAGTAATGGAAATGGACAGATTTAATCTTGAGCAAATCACTGAAGTTTTCGTTTTCTCATTTCTAGAATGAAAGAAGGTGTTAGACCACCAGACAAAACCCAGTGGCTCTTGCAGCTATTAGAAATTCATAGTCATTTCCTGACCATCACAATATCCTCCCACAATGTAAATATATAGTGTCATCTTGCTGTCTGCCCCTCTAAACTACTTTTTTAAGTGTACTGAGTTGCAACTTTTTTCATTTTAATTTAGAAGAGAAAAATGAAGATGGGACATTTTGAAATGGTCACCATGCTGCTGGTAGCCTTGATTCTAATGGACATCTTCCAGGTAATGCTGGGAATGGGAAGCATGTGGCCACTGGAATGGAAACTCTTGATATAATATTGCCTGAAGGTGGGATAGGTAAATGAATTTATTATAAGTGGCTTTTTTCCATCTTGCAGATGTATATATGTAAGCCTTAGAAAGTTGAAAAATTAAAAGTGAAAAAGACAGCAAGAATCATCCATAGTACCTATTCAGAGGGAAAGACTCATAAGGTGTCAGTGTATATAGCCTTCATGGCTTTACTTTCTCAGTTTGTATATATAATTTATAAAAAATAGATTCAAGCTATACACAGTTTTTTTTCCACCTTGCTTTTAAAGTTAATACTGTGCTACTTATCTCTTCATGTCAGTAAATATCCTGAAAATGTTATGAGTTTTTCTCCAAATAAAATAATGTTGTGATGTTTGGTTACATGTTTTTTATTAAGCTATGTAATGACTGTTTCCTCATAGTTTGTGTGTGTGTTTGTAGGTTTGTTTTTTTCAGTCCTGGGGTTTGAAGTCAGGTCTTTGCTGTTGTTGTGCAGGCACTCTACCACTTAAGCCATGCCCCAAACCTTTTTTGCTTCAGTTTTCAGATAAGGTCTTGCAGGGTTTCTTTTTTTTTCTTTCTTTCTTTTTCTTTTTTTTTTTTTTTTCCTATTTTGGCATGGGATTGGGTCTTGGACCATGATTCTCCTACCTATACCTTCTACATAGCTGGTATTATAGGCATACACCACCAATGCCCTGCTTGTTTGTTGAGATAGGGTCGGTTTCACTAGCTTTTTGCCTAGACTGGCCTCAAACAGTGACCCTCTTAGATTCCATTTCCCATGTAGCTGGGATTACAGGTATGAGCTACTATGCCCAGCTCCTCATAACTCCCCCCCATAGAAATTTTATAAACTTACTTGCAGTTAAATCTTTAAACATTCTGTAACATATTTTATGTAAAATATAAATTGGGTATCTCACTTGATTTCCCCCTGCATTGTTAGCTGTCATATTAACTATTTGTGTTCTGATCTTGAATGCCTTCTTTAAAATATCTTTAAGCCTTAAAAATTTTATCTATTTTTGAATTTGATTTTATGATCCATTGTCTACAGAATTGTTGTGTATTTTGTAGCCTGCACATTCTGTTGTGTAATTTTTAAATTGATTTATAATTCACATACTATAAAAATTCACCATTTTAAAGTGTGCATTTCAATGGTTTTTAGGTATTTACTATATTGTGCAACCATTATTACCATTTAGTTGCATAACATTTTCATCATCCTACAAAAAAACCCTTTACCTATTGGTAGTTAGCTCTAATTCCTTCTTTCCCCATTCCCTGGCAACCAGTAATCTACTGGGTTTTTTTTTTGGAGGGACTGGGGTTTGAGCTCAGGGCCTCACACTTGCTAGGCCTACCACTTGAGCCACTCCACAAGCTCAGTAATCTACTTTTTTGTGTGTGGATTCGCTTGTTCTGGACATTTTCATTGGAATGGAGTTTTACAATATATGGTCTTTTGCTTAGCATAATGTTTTCAAGGCCCATCCATATTTTAGCATATATTAGTATCTTATTCTTTCCATTAGATGGCTGTATCATATTTTGTTTTATCCATTCATCAGTTGAGGGACATTTGGATTGTTCCCACTTTCTATTATGAACAGTCCTCCTATAAACATTTGTGTTCACATTTTGTATGAACATAAATTTTCTTTTAAATTTTTTTATAATTATTGACTTGTCTGGGAATAATATAAGCACTAACAGCATTACATAATAGCTTTTGTATATATGTAGGAAATACATATGTAAATGAAAATTTCATATACATTTCCTACATATATGCACTATGCTTTTACACTGCATGATAACCAAATTACTCATTATGAACATATGTTTCAGTTCTCTTTGGTATATACCTAGAGTAGAATCACTGGGCCATATGGTATTCTTACGTTTAACTTCTGAAGTACTGCCCCACAGTGGCTGTACTTTCTTACAGTCCTACCAGCAATGGAACCCTAATAAGGGTGCCAGTTTTTTTTTTTTTTTTGAATCCTTGTATTTTTGTTTGTTTTTTACTTTTTTTGGGGGGATGGGCATTTAAGTACTGGGGCTTGGACTCGACCTCATGCTTGCTAGGCAGGTACTCTACCACTAAAGCCATACCCTCAGTCCATTTTGCTTTTTAGTATTTTTCAGATAGGGTGTTGTGTTTTTTTACTTGGACCAGCCTCAGACTGGGATCCTCCTACCTTTGCCTCCTGAGTAGCTGGGATTACAGGCACAAGCCACTGTACTGGACCTGTTTTTGAGATAGGGTCTCACTAACTTTTTTGTTCAGTCTGGCCTCAGACAGTGATTCTCCTATCTCTACCTTCTAAGTAGCTTGGATTACAAGGATGTACTACCATACGGATCCCTTGACTTTGTTGACTCATCCTAGTTGGTGTGAAGTGGTGCCTTATGGCTTTAATTTTCATTTTAATACTCTTTTGTAGCATAATTTTAATGTATTTTTTATCAAGGTTTGTAATAGTTCCACATATTTGCAATAAAATTTTGGTAATTGAATTTCATCATAATGAGCTTACGTTCCAGTGGATAAATTAGAGGAAGAAATTATAATTAACTTATTTGCGTAATGTTTCATACCTGTTTTGAGTATCCATTTAGTCGTCCCTGAATAGTGGTAGCTTTTGTGAACTTTGTAACTGCTCAAGGCATGCACCGTACAGAACACACAATCAGCTGTGGTGTCTGGCCAGAAAGGCTTGATAGCTAAAATTAGACATATGGACACTGGTTTTAAGCATAGGGAGAAAACAGGAACATATTGGATCAACTCTAATGTGATGTAAGGAATGTGAGAGGTAGTTTCAGGTCTGATGTCTTATGTTGAAGTCTTGAAGATAAATCAGGCATTGGTGCTCAAGTTGAACTCTGGTACATTCTGTGCTGCAGAGGAAGGTGCATTTCTTGACTGTGAGACAGAAGTGATTTGATCTCCTGAAGCTCAAATTCCCATGTGAGAAACTGACCTACAAACCCAGGAGTGCAGAGGTCCCTGTGACTTCCCCAGCAGAATGTCCTGTGGTTAGTAGTCCAGATAGTTTCTGGTGCTGGCCCAGTTCCCTTACCCAGGAAATGGTGTTAATAACTGTCTGCCCAACCTTTCATAAGGCTTTGTTTTACATGTATTTTATTAGTGTATATTAATTGTACAAGGGGTTTCATTGTGATACTTCCATGCATACGTACACTGTGCTTTGATCAAAATCATCCCCTCTATTACTCTTTCTTACCTTCTCCCCCATTTTTTTACAATTTTAATGAGCTTCATTCTATTTTCATTCATGCATATAAAGTACTTTTAGGAAGACAAAACACTTTTAAAAGTGCTATATAAATGCCCGCAGTCTTCATCATTAGAAACATTCTATCCTTTAAAGGCAGCAGAACATTTTGGTTAAGAGGACAAAACACTGTGACAGGATTGTCCAGGCTCAAGTTCCAATTCTATATAAGATTCAATCTCTCTGTGTCTTTGCTTTCTAATCTTTAAAAAGTACAGGTGGCTAATATAGTACTTACTTTATAGGCTTGCCATGAGGACTAAACAAGTTAATTCCTATAAAGTACTTAGTGTTTGGCATATAGAAAGAACTCTGATGATGTTTGTTAGGCCTTAGAAATTGGGTGCCCTCAGAGAGTGACTGAGAAGAGGTATCTAGGAAAACTTCACAAATGAACACACGACCTTAAATAAGAATTATGTTGTTATTGGTCGTGGTTTTAGGCAATATGTTATAAATTTGGCCTTAGGCATGTCGTGTGTGAAGGGTCTTTGGGCATTCAAGTGGAGTATCAAGTAGGCAGTTGATATACAGGTCTGACCCTTGCAAGACAGGTCAGAGATATTTAGATGATAATCAGTATTATAGACATGTGTATAGTTGCCTAGAGGTAGAGTTGAGAATTACAAAATAATTAGCTTTGAGAAACTCTTAACATTTTGTGGCTAGCTAGAATATGTTGGACATGTGAAGGAGTCTAAGAAATTCTCCCTTAGAACTGTATGGGTGGTGGAATGATGGGAAACCAAAATAGGGAAGATTGAGAGGTAATTGGGAAGTGATGTACAGATGACAAGGATATTTCTTTCAAGAAGTCTGATTGTAAGGAGGAAAAGAAGTAGTAGGAAGAAGATATATGATCAAGTTTTTGTTTTTTTTTTTTAAAAAATTGGTATTCTCTCTATTTCTCCCCCACAAATACACACACACACACACACACATAAACACACATTTTTAAATGAATCATATACATGGAACTTGTAATTTTAACAACTCCTCTCTAAATGTCTCCACAAATTTCCAGTTGAGGTTGCTGTGCAGACTTATGCAACCATGCACTATACAAGTATGAAATAGTAGAAAAAGAAGCATTGTTGTTTTATTTGTAGAAACCCATAATTTGCTGAGTGGATTCATTCATGTTGTTGTGTTGTTTTTTTGATCCATAATTGAGAATGTGGGATTCTTATTTAGTTCACCTGAATATTTTGTCAGTTTCTGTGCTAGGTGCTTAGAATTCAAAGATAAATGTGTTAACAGATTCTGTCCTGAAACCTTACAGTATAACACATAATTACTATCATGAAATAATAATTAATAACCACAGTTTGTTGAAGGGCTGGTATGTGCCAGGCATTGGTTAAGGGCTTTGTATGTATTCTTTATGTAATTTAATCTTCACAACAATCCTGTAATTAAAATATTATTTTATCTACTTTATCTTCATTTTTAAATGAAAAATTGAGACTCAGAAATGTCATTTAACTTTCCCATGTGGGAAATGAGTAATGGAAATAGAATTTGAACCCAGTTATATCTGGCTTCAAATTAATGTTAATACCACCCTGCTTCTTATATCTGTGAGTATGTGTGTCATGTAGATGATGCATTACGCCTTCCCATTGTATGTGACAGAAACACAGTTCAAACTAGTACAAAAAATGGATAATTTGTTGATTTTTATGATTAGGGTAAAACAGCTAGAATAAGGACCTCACATATGTTTTTCCTCTCAGTTCTGCAGGTCTTTCTTTGTTACTTTTCTTTCAGACAAGATTACCCTATGGAACTCAAAGGATAATTACTGAAAACCCCAAGCTAATGTTGTCCTGAGAATTTATGGTTTTAGAGGAAGAAAGATCCATTTTGGGGGACAGAGGGGACTTTGAATGTTCTGATTGCTAGACCTTGATCACCTGATTATTCTTGGGTCTGAAGGTGCAAAATCAGACCTATCCATGTCATATGGACAAGGAAAGGGGGCATGCCCAGAGGAAAAAAGTAATACTTGCCATTCTGTATTTATCTATTCTGTACAGTATTTTTACACATGATATTTCAAGTTATTCCAACAGTCTTGAGGGTTTGAGGAAATATAGATAATGATATTGTTCAAAGACAGGACTGCCACAAAGGTCTTCAATTTCCTGTGTACTACAGTGTTCAGATAAATGAACTATAGGTACAAGGCTAACTATAGGTAGCCTTGTACCTATACTTAGCATTTAGTCTTTCATACAAATATGTCATAGATGAGAAAACTTATCAATGGCAATGAAGTATACTTCATACATAAAGGTTGTAGGAAAGGAGTGATTCTTGGCTAGAGATGAAATGGTAGGGACAGTAATGTGAGAGAAAATTATATACACTAATGCCTTATTTCAAGAATATTACTTTCTTTTTCCTTTGAAGGTAAAGGCTGAAATGTTAGACATGGCAGATAATGCATTCGATGATGAATACCTAAAATGTACAAACAGGATGGAAACAAAATATGTTCCCCAACTGCTCCAGGAGGAAAAGACAAACCATCAACTCTTAGAGACTGTGTGGGAAAATGCAAAAATCAAATGGGAAGCCCGCAAAACTCAGATCTCTCTCCCTATGCGTTTTAAGGATAACCATGGAATAGCCCTGATGGCATATATTTCTGAAGCTGGAGAGCAAAGTCTCTTTTACCATCTGTTCAACAAAGCTGTGGAGATGGCTGGGCAGTCTCGGAAGGACTACATCTATGACTTCCCATTCAAAGCTTTTCATTTTTACCTGACAAAAGCCCTGCAGTTGCTGAGAAGACCTTGTGAGGACAGTTATAAAAATGTGGTGTATAAAACAAGTCGGGATACTTCATTTACATTTGGAGGCCTAAACCAAGTCAGACTTGGCAATTTCACATTGGCATATTCAACTAAACCCCAAGCTAATGACCAAAAAATTGTGTTAACCATCTACACGTGCTTTGGAGTTGCTGTTGAAAAATTTTTTGATAAAGAAAATGAAAGAATTGTTTTAATACCACTGAATGAGATTTTTCAAGTGTCACAAGAAGGGACTGACAATAACCTTATCCTTCAAAGCACAAACAAGACCTGTAGCTATTACGAGTGTGCATTTCTAGGTGGTAAGTGTCTGTGTTGTGTCTGTGCTTATCTGGGATGAAAGGAGTGAGATTTGGATCCAGGGAAAGGTCAGGTAAGGAGACTGAGAGGTGTTTGAAAAGAGGAATTATACTGGTAGTTTCTAGGCTAGCCCCTTTCATATACTGTTCTTTATCCAAAATTTAATTTTTATCAAATTCGTATGGCTTAAAGTTAATAAATAAAATAGAACCGAAAGGCAGTAGTTCTCAAACAGAGGCAATTTTGCCCTGCAGGGCCATTTGGCAATGATCAGAAACACTTTTGCTTGTTATAATTGAGAAAGGTGGAGTTGTCATTGACATGTAATTGGTAGAGACCAGGGACATTGGAAACAATGCATAAGTTACACCTCCCTGCCCCCTAACACACACAGCAGAGAATTATCTGGCCCAAAATGTCAGCAGTGCTGATTTTGAAAAACCTTGCTATAGGCTTACAATGAAAAGTAGCAGTCCCCTGCCCACAGTTTCTACTTCTTAGTGGCATTCATTTTAAATTATTTGATTTTTTTTCAGGTGTTCACTGTCATGCTACTAAGTAAATAGTGTGCTTATTTCTGTATTTAAAAAATGTTTAGACATTGAATTTCCACTAAAGTAAATGAATATTTTGCCCTAATGTACCATATATTAGTTAAGAATCTTCATTGTTTTCAGATTTGGCAGAAAACCTGATTGGTAATTTTCATCAGTCTAGACATAAGCTGTCTGGTGCAGTGGCACATCTACATCATCAGTAACTCAGGCTCTTTCTACTTGTTTTGTGTGGGACTGGAGTTTGAACTCAGGGCTTCATACTTGGCAAAGTAGGCAGTCTACCGCTTGAGCCACCATCTTCAGTCCTCTTTTTGTTCCTGTAGCCTTAGAGTGTTGGTTTGTAGGTTCATGTTTGCAGTGTGACTGTTTCATCTCTAGGTATCGATCCATGTCCAAGACAGAGACAAAGGGTCTGGCAGCCAAAACTATCTATTTAGTAAGGGAAATAAAAGCTTTCCCAGAAGCTTTTATTAGATATCTTGATTACATATCATTTACTAGAACAGATTCTTGGTCACTGATCGCTACAAGAAGAGCTTGGGAAAGGTAGTAGTTAGGTTTTCCAGCCTCTATAATGTAGGGAAGAGAGAAGGGAATTAGAAGTGGCTGTTAAGGGTGCCAGACAGGGTCTCAAAAAAGGAAAAAATGGGTTGGTGATATGGCTCAAGTGGTAGAGTGACTGCTTTGTAAGTGTGAAGCCCTGAGTTCAAACTCTAATCCTAAATAAATAAATAAAGCAAAAAGAAGAATAAGGAAGAAATAATTATTAGGGTAATTAATTAAAAGTATCTGACATCCACTAGTCTCCTCCCTGACATATGTGCATTTCCCCTTTTCCATTTTTTTCAATGTAGTCAAGACCAGTCATAGCTAAATCAAAGAGCTGTTTTTCTTTTCTCTTTTTTTTTAATCAAAGAGCTGTTTTTCTATGCTTAATAACTTCTTTTCCCCCAGGGTTATTTTATGAACTTGTTTTCCTTTTTTAGTTTTCTATCTCTCATCATTAATTCATCTCCAAATCCTTTGACAGAAATAGAAGTCTCTTAATGCATTTAGATATATAATCTCTTATTTCCCCTCCTGCTCTTCCTCCCTTTCCTCTTTTGTCCAGAATATACCCACTCCTGGATTCTTCCTTCATCTCACTTTGTGAAATGCTCTTTGGACTTGGTAAATATCATGAAAACTCTCCATACTACTACTCTGAGATTATGCTTCTCTGTGAGAAATACTCTATTTCTTGGATTTATACCTCTTTCTTAAATTATTGTTTAGTTTAGTTTGGTAGGGTGGGGCTGAAGGTTCTACAACCATTTTCTGAGAAACGATACATTGAGGTAAATTTTCTAAGACTTTGCATATCTTAAAGTCTGCCTTTAAGCTTGAACAACAGTTTTTGTAGATTTGCATTTCTATTTTTTTAAGAGAAAATAGATTTATTAGGACACCATTAAGAGAAAAGACAAATGGAAGGGCAGCTATACAAAGGAGCATAGTGCATCCTGCATTTCTATTTTAGAAATTATTTTTCTTTGTAATTTTGAAGATGTTTCTTCAGTGACTTCTAGGTTCTGGAGCTGCCATCAAAAAGTGCAAAGCTTTTTTAATTACTGAAACTTTGAGGCCTGTTATAGGAGTTTTTGTTGTTTTTTGTTTATGTGGCGCTGGGGATCAAACCTAGAGCATTGTGAATGCTAGGCAAACACTTCCCCCACTGAGCTCCATACATCCTCAGCCTAAGTCTTGTTCTTTATTTTTCTGGAAAGTTTAGGGTGTTTTCCTTATTCCCCAAATTCTATAATTTTATGGTGTTGTGCCTTGATGTATATGAATAAGGATTAATAAAACCCTTTCTCCTTTTTCCTATGAAAATGGCCTGCTGATTTCTAGTACTGTTTCTCTGTAATTTGCTAAAGGTGTAATGATAGCTGTGTAACCGTCAACATTGCCTGTGGTAAACAAAACCCCAGCATCTGAGCTGGGAGGATTATGAATGAACTTTAAAAACTTGGGGGAAGGCCATAGTTTTGGGTTTTTCTGAATGTGGTGCTACATATCTGGGTGTTCTTGTCAAGTACGGAAGGAGAACAGGACACTTGAACCAGTACTAAACAACATTAGTAGGTTCAAGAAATACTGTCTTCTTATGTGGCATAAGACTACTAAACTAAGGAGGCTCCTTTACCCACCCAAGTAATCTTGTCTCCTTGTAACTGACCTAATCATTTGGGGGTGCTAAAGAATATTCCTGGACTACTGTGAGACTTACAATGACTTGCATTTAATGCTGCCCTCCTGCTAAACAGTATGCTGTGTTCACTGCCTTGCATTCTTCTGTAAAACTCAGAAAACTGTTGAGGAGGTAGCCTTTAGGGGTCTTGTGAGGATGACTGTCTAGCTGAACCAGAGACTATGGCTGCTGGGTCAAGTAGTAAGTACTATAATAGACCCTAGAAGTAAAGTAGATTTTTAGACCTAAACTTACTGTGCCCAAGATCCTGAGAGATAAAAAGGCTGGATAGGGATAGCTGGACATGATGGCTCATGCCTCTAATCCTAGATAGACAGCTAGATCATGAGGACTGTGGTTTAAGGCCAGCCTGGATACAAAGTTAGTGAGACCCCATCTTAACAAACAAGCTGGGTGTGGTATTACATACCTGTCACCTCAACTCCACAGGAGACATAAGATTGTGGATGAGGCCCTCCCTGGACAAAAACTCAAAACCCTATTTGAAAAATAACTAAAGCAAAGAAACAATGAAGTTATGGCTTCAAGTGGTAGAGACAGCCTGCCTAGCATGCATAAGGTCCTGAGTTCAAACACCAGGACTACCAAAAAAAAAAAAAAAAGCTGGGTAGGAAAGTGGTGATGGGACATCATTCCACGGTGGGGTTGGGGGTGGGGGTTGATATGCTTAAAATTGAATGGCTGAAGCCATATGGCCATGTGCAAGGTTTAAGGAAGCACTCGCTCTCAGGGCCTTATATTTACTATACATGTACTTGCATAATATTGAGAGTGAATAACTCACATTTTATATTCTGTGGCACCTCATTTGCCTCACCCTAGTTCTGCATTTGAGACTCAGTGAATAGGCAGATGAAGAATGAAATGAGGAAATTGTTTTGTTTTTTTATACAGGGTCTCACTATACATAATGAACCCAGGCCGATCCTGAACTGCTGAATCTCCTGCCTCTGGCTTCCAGGTGCTGAGATTATAGGCATGCACCATCACTCTAGCTGGAATGTGTAAATTTATGTTGAAAGAAAAAATGTTCATTCTCTTAAAAAGACTATACATTGGACCTGACCCCAAACCAAGCCAGCTAGAGCCATCTTATACCAGATCATAGGAGCTAATTGTAGGCATGCATCTTCTTAGTTTCTCCTACATCACCATAGCTTAAAATTAGCCATGGTTCAATTACATATTCTATGATCAGTAGGTGCCTGAAACCAAACCCTATATATACTATGTATTTTCCTATATATGCATACTTATGGTTAAAAGTTTAATTTATAAATTAGGCAAGTAAGAGACTAACAATAACTAATTATAACAATATACTATATTAGAGGTTATGTGAATGCTATCTCTAATGCCATCTCTGTCTTCTCAAGAATATTTTCATACTATGGTTGATCACTAGTAACTGAGAGCACAGAAAGTACAACTTTGAAGAAGGGGGACTACTTATACCATAAAAATGAGCAGACAACAAAAACCAATGTGTTCCTTTCTCTCCCCATTGAGTATGTTAAACTTTACCAGTGTGTCACAGCCAGAAGTCCAGTTGTAGCTGTGTCAACAGAAATCATACCATTTTTGGTGCTCCTGTTGCATTTAGCCAAATGCTATTTTGGAGGCCTTGGTTTTATAAAAGCCTAGCTGTAAGCCAGATTTAGCACTGGTGTCTAGTTCGTCAGCTGAGGTAGGCAGTGAAACCCACTGATTCCATGTCTGTGAGTGGAATTATGATATAACAAAAAGAAGCACAGCCATTGGATTGATCCTGAATGAGCCAGGGTTCAGACCCTCATGGAGGAGTGCATTATGAGCCCTGTATATGAGAAAGGGGAAGAATAGAGGAATGGGGACTAGAAATTAGGCAGAAGTCACACAACAGTTCAATGTTCAGAAAAATCACAAGGGGAGCCCTTTCTGGAAGCTCACAGTGTACCATGTTGGAGAGCTCTAACCAAGTCAATCACTGCACCTGGGTATGTTGATTGAAGCCTAGGCTGGAGTACAAAATTTAATTCTAGTATGTAGTCCTCTGCTGCTATCTAGAGGTAACTAATGAGAATGCAAAATTGAAAACTCCACGAGGCAAGCGGGGGTTGTAGCTCAGTGGTAGAGCACTAGGATGGAAGTCTGCCATGTGAGAGACCTTGGATTCCATCCTCAGCAAAGCAAACAATAGCAACAATAAAATTTC